CTATGAGTCGGGTCCGACTCGAAGGCACATAACAACAACAAGTTGCTTAGGAGAATTAACACTGTTGTTGCTGGGTGCCACCAAAACTACTGCTGTAGAGTCCATTCCGATCCTAATGATCTCATGTAACAGGGTACAACTTCCCCACAGGGTTGTTTTGGCCATAATCTTTATGGAAGCAGACTGCAGGTCTTTCTCCCGCAGAGCCACTGGTAGGTTTAAGTCACCAAGTTTCCGGTTAGCAACTGAGCAATTAATTGACTGTTGTGGCACCACAGTCCCTAGGAGTATTAACAGCATTGTGGTTGTGTGGGAAAATGTCCTAGCTCCAGTGTTAGTGTATTGAGGAGTGAAGGATCACGAAAACTGCGGCTTATTTTAAGATGACTTAGAGAGAGAGAAACTGAGCATGGGTGAGTGCACACGAGCATGAGAAAATTAACGGCAAATGTGACAACCTTTTAACAACCAGTAAATCTAGGTGAAGTATATAAGATTATACTACTTTCACATTTTTAGTAGTTTAAAAAATGTCCAACACAAAAAAGTCTGGAGAGAAAAACCCAAATCCACAAGTTTAGAAACTAAATGCACTTCTTTAGTTAGCTATGGAATACAGCTAAGCTAATACAGTGTTTGTAGTTGTAGGGACTTAACTTATTATCAAAGTCCTGGTGGTGCAGTGGTTAAACACTTGGCTGCTAACCAAAAGGTCAACAGTTCAAACCCACCAACTGCTCCATGGGGAAACAATGTCCCAGTCTGCTTCCTTAAAGATTTATAGCCTTGTAAACCCCATGGGGCAGTTCTACCCTGTGCTGTACGGTTGCTATGAGTCAGAATACACTCAATAGGCACAACGCAGTGGGCTTTGGTATTATTAATCAAAATAGAAACAAATCAAATGAGCTCAATTTCAACGCAACAAGCTAGAGAAATAAATAGTGAAACTTACGCAAGTTGAAGGGAAAAAGTATTTAAGGTAGGCACAGAAACAGAATGAAGTAGAAAAAACTAACAAAACCAAGCAATAAAACCAAAAGCTGCTTCTTTGAAAGGATAAGTAAGAGACAAAAAAAAAAAAAAAAAAAAAAAGGGGGGGGGGGAGGGGAATAGTTAAGGCTTTAGGAATGTAAAGAAGGCCCTAATTATAGGTACATTTGAGATTAAGTGCTGAGAGGAGTCTATGAACAACTTTATGCCATTAAAGTTCAAAGGAGACAACAAATATATTCACTAAGAGGAGGAAAAGCTAGCCAACTTATTTTGTAAGGTTAGTATAACCCTGATACCAAAATCAGACAAGAACTCTGTAATAAAAGGAAATTATGTATCAAAATATAGTATCAACTGCATCAATAAAATATACTGAAAAGAACAGGCTGTAGTCTTTATCACTGTTGATTCACCTCTGATATTAAGCCAGGACAGACCCCTTCCATTAAGACAGCTAGCTAGCTATTACTACACTAAACAGTAAAACAAAAAAAATAAAAACAAATTTTCCTAGTAAGATGGACACAAGACTGAAAAAATAAAAAAGGCTCAAGGACATTAAACCAACTGTTCCTTGTTTGTGGCCTGTCCTAGTATTTTGAAATGAAAACAATTTTTTTTTGCCATGATTTGCTCTAACAAATACACATCTGCTACCTGATATTCAGAAGCTCTACTGTCACAGGGTTAATTTCTCAGCAGCTAGCTGAAAGGGCTGCAGTTCAAACCCATCAGCAGCTCCGTGGGATAAAAGATCTGGCGACCTGCTCCCATAAAGACCACAGCCTAGGAAACCACAGGTCGCTATGAGTCAGAATTTGACGCAATAGCATATAACAACAATAACCTGATATTTAATGAATCTTTTGACTAAAAGGGCGTGGCTTGAGCATTCAAAAGGGACCTCCAATTAAGCATGGCAGATCCAATACATCCAATCCCTACCTCTTCCTGAAGCTCCTCTGAATAACAGTAAAAGGGGCAGGGATGTATGAGTGTGATTAACTCACAAGAATTAAGAATGAAAGAGACAGCATCTTGAAGCTAAAAAACATGTCCAGCTGACTTGGCAGACCTAAAAATGTAGAAAATTCTGCCAACAATAGACGGGGGTCCAGAAGCAAACAGCTTCAAGCTTAAGAACTAGAGAAAGGCTCAAGAATTGGTGACCCCAGGTATCACTAAAAGAAGTCAACAAATTAGGTTAAAACAGGAAAATAGGTTTAAAACACCACAGTGAAAACAGGAGAATTAAGCAAAAGTCTATATGGTACCCTGATAGCTCTCCTCACCTTGGGGGTTACCACAGTCAAGCTCATATGATAAAGCGCATATCAATTAGCTTTTTAGAGCACTTCTCTAAAATACAACACATTCAAGAACCATGACATTTCAGAAACTTGTGAGATAGAAGTCTCTGTTACTTACTTACACACACACAGAGGAATCTGGAAGTAAAACAGGAAAAGCATGAAGAAGAAAACTTAAGGGGGAAAAAACATACTATTCTCAGGGAGAAAAGAGAAGGTATTACATAAAAGAACAGGATACCATTAAAAAAAGTTCAGAGAACAAAATGGAGCTCTCAGATACAAAGTCTAACATTTGAATGAGTTCTACAAAGTGAGAACAAAGAAGAAAGGCAAGGAAATGAAAGAACATTAAAAATATTCTTCCAAGCAAAAAAGACAAGCGCTTCCAGACTGAAAAGGCCCAGCAAGTATCCAGAACAAAAGACAAAAGAGAAACCCATACGAAGGCACGCCATTGTGAAATTTCAGAAGCCTATGAATGACAAGAAAAATCCTAAAAACTTCCAGAATGAAAAGATCAAGTAAGATGAAACCAAATCAGAAGGGCTTCAGTGGCAATACTGGGGCAATCCCCTTTAAATTCGGAGGAAATTATGAACTGTAACTCAGAATTCTCTACCCAGTAAATGCAATAAACGAGAGGATAAAACAAAGATGCTTTCAGTTATGCACTCACTCGCTGCCACTGAGTCCTTTCCAACTCATAGTGACTCCTCCTTGGGTTTCCTAGGCAGTATCTCCACGGAAGGAGATTGCCCAATCTTCCTTCTGAGGAGTGGCTGGTAGGTTTGAACCGCCAGCCTTCTGGCACTATGCCACCAGAGCTCCCTTAGTTATGCAGTCTTAAAAATTCATTTCCCGTGTTCCCTTTAAGGAAGCTACTAGAGGATGTCTGCCACCAAAATATCCCCTTTGAGGGTTAAAAATTTATATTAAAACCCCAAGAGAAGATTTCTCAAGAATAAAAATTCCTGCCAACTGACCTTCAGCATATTGTTAAATCAACAGAGCAGATGTCAACTTCAGAAACACAAAATGCTGAAGTGAAATTTTACAGATGTGGGTAGATAACTGGTAAAAACCCAGTCAAGAGGTAAAGGAATTTAAAAGAGATTTCATTATGAAGTTCCATTAAGACCAGCTTTTCAAGTTTTGCAGTAGGAAAATGTCTGGTTTCATCAAAGCCTATTTATTTCTCTTAAGAAAAGCATACACATTCCCATACATGTATACCTTGTTACCCTAACAGTGAACACTCATATTCCACCTTCTAAAGTTCACTGTTAATTTCAATTTCACGCGTAAGGAGTCACATTAACTAAGAACTCTGTTACATACTGTTACATACAGGAAAAGCGATACTGTATGATTATATATACTATATATATACTATAATCATACAGTATCGCTTTTCCTGTATGTAACAGTATGTAACAGAGTTCTTAGTTAATGTGACTCCTTATAATAAATATCGAGGAGCTCTGGTAGCATAGTGGCTAAAGCCCTTGACTGCTAACCAGAAGGCTGGCGGTTCAAACCCACCAGCCACTCCTCGGAAGGAAGGTTGGGCAATCCTACTTCCATAGTGATACTGCCTCAGAAACCCAAGGAGGGGTCGCTATGAGTCGGGGCCGACTCGATGGCACATAACAACAACAACAACAACATAATAAATATTAGTAAACTGGCTACTAATTAATTGTTTTATAGGCTAAAACATCCTCTTTTGCTTCTTTCCCACTAATTATCTTACTTTAGAGTCAGAATCTAAGAAAAATTAAATGTGAGTTTAAGGTCCTTTTATTTTCACCCAAGAGCATCACTCCTGTTACCACATCTTTCAACTGCTAAGTTGGTGTCATTCATAGTTTCCATCAGAGCAAAATCACAAGCTTTTATTTACTGATACAAGCTGTAATCACATAAAAGTTATCCAAACTGCCCTGAAAAGCAATGCCACTATTTTGTCTGAATACTGCTTTTCAAATTATGCTTTCAGAAATGGGTTTCTACCATGTCCCACAGGCCTGGCTCCAAAATTCTTAGCAGAAGTTAAGGGTGTGGAAAAATTAAAAGAAATTAAGGCTATGGTAGTATTTGAACCACAATAAAAACAAATTCACAAAAAACAGCTTTAAACTATGCTTTGAAAAGAACACTTCAAAATCTAAAATAATCTGTGTCACACGTATAAGAACATAACTAATGCCGAATAGGGCTATTTTAAAGCAGTTACTCTAGCTGCTCTGTAGCGCTTGCTTTGTATACGGTGCACGTGAACATACATGTTCAGAGTTTGACAGCTTGAATCCAGTGTACTGTTTCTTTCTTTAACAGCGCTGTATCATGACCACCACGAGCAATTAAGATTTATATAAAAATCTCAGTTAACATTCACTGAGGTGTGTTGTCTAAAACAGGAGTGTTACAGATGTGAGATCTGCTCAGATCCAGCCTAGCAACTACTTCACGTAAGCAAGGCAAGTGTGATGAGTCATTTCACCAAAACCAAGAGCCCTGACCATTTCATGTATCCTTTACTCCTACTACAAAGGAATTCAATTGGTTATTTCCTTCTCTCACCAGTAACCTTCTTCTTGGCCTCCTTGTGTTCTGGAGCATCAACAGTACTTATCATCACCTCTCCACCCCCCATTAACCCCATGCCAGAGAGAAAAAGTATATACGCACCTTAAAATCTGTATTATTGATATATTCAAATACCAAAGCTGGTGTCTTTGACTGTAAGAGAGAATATTAAATGCTTTTTAAATACTCAAATAATAACTGTAATTTGCTTTTGCCATACTGGCCCATCCCCAAATCCCATTCAAATGAAAAAGCGATTTACTCATCAGAAAGAACCTGACAAGGCAGTGCTCTCTGGACATTGTCTGATGTTGAGGATTTGCTTCAACATAACTGAGGATGGTGGGAGTCGGGTAGAACTGAAATGAAGTTAGCCATGAACTGATAAACTGCGGAAGCTGGGTGACAGATGCATGCTTTTGTAAATGGTTGAAAATTTTTCACAAAAAGTTTTTTTTTTGGAAAAAAAAAGAGAATGTATTATCTGAATAACTTATCAAAAATGTCAATAAGCTTGGCATGTTATATAAAAATTTACACTCTGCAGTATTCTGTTTTGCCAACTACAAAAGTAGTTACACACTTACACATTTTCATCTTTGTTTAAAGCCGGATGCATCTGACAGACTCATCACAGGCCTTGGGAGTATGTCATATAGCCATATATGAGACTATCGATAAGCCACCATGTGAAATCATTGCCTTGGCTAGAGAACATTACAGAATGTCTCACCTTACAAACAGACATGCTTCCCAAAACTCATATATAATCAGAATTTTTAAAGGCACTAATAATCTTTAATATACGAGTACCGACATTGAATTTTTCCTTGTATACATCCAGGTTTTCAAACATCAGGTTTACTTAAGGGAGGTAAGAGAGTGCTAACAGGCAGTAATAAGTTTTCAAAATTGGGAGAAAAGCAGGGGCTTTTCCAAGGAAAATCTTGGAAATCTATGGCTGGCAAGTTTTGCTCAAGGAAACAGGTAATACATAGTTACCTAGGAACTAGGCCACAGTGCATGCATGCAGATCTTTGCCAGGACAACTCAAAAGCCCCAGCAGCACCCCCAGTAATAGCCATGATCAGATGATTCTTCACTAGTCCCAAGTTGAAAGGGTTTCATCAAGAACACCTGATCTCTCTATAGGCTGTGGAGCAAGCCTGTTCCCCCAAAAGTTAGGAGCCAGGGTTCCCTGCTAATTTTTATCTATTTCACTTTACTGGTCTTACATATCCTGTAAAACACACACACACACACACACACACACACGTTAAGTAACACTGCAAACATAGAAGACAGTAAGTTCTGTTAATTTAAAAAAAGAAAGCAAACTAAAGATGTTCCTGTTATACCATGTTACATTTTTCTGAAACCTACATTTGTACGTAGTGCTCTTTTTCAGAGGACAACACTCATTGTTAATACAGACCATTTTCAAAGATTATGTAGTCCAGGGTTAGTCATCTTTAAGACTAATCTGAGCTAATCAGGCCGAGATATTATTTTTAATGTAAATCATCATCTGGCATACACCATCCCTCTCAAGCTTTTCAGGGTCCAAAAGGAAAAAACTCTCTTGATTCTTTAGTTCAACAATACTGTGTGATCTTGGACAAATTACTTAACCTCTGTTGAATTCAGTTTTGTCATCTTTACAACATGGACAATAATGTCACCTACCCTACTGGATTGTCTTGAGCATTAAATGACGTGCTATGATGAAATACTCCGAACAGTGCCTGGCACGTGGTAAGCACTCAGTGATCACCTATTATGAGGCTATCTTTAGCAAAGACTGACTTCTTAAATAAACAAAAAGCTATCACGGGAGGAGTTGGACAGGAAGAATATATATTTGAGGTGAAGCAAGTACAAATCAGAAATTGGAGAAGAAATGGGGAGGGGGGAGTCCCCAACCTTGACTAATCAGCAAAATTTAAGGTTAATTTACTCTCAGAGAGAGAAAACAAAATTAAAAAGCACACCTAAAATGGCCAAGAATTAAGCATTTTAACAAAAAATATTTTCGTGTTATCTGCAGAAATGAAATGAGTCCTACTGGTGCACGCTCAACTAAAGCCTCATATGAGAAGCAGCTTCCCCAGGGATTGGAGCGGGGACCTACTCAACTCTCTCTGCCAGCCATCCATATTGGAGACATTCAACATGTTTGTGGGATCCATCAAATAAGAAGGCAACAAACACAGAGTAGGATTTGACAAAAGCAGTGATGAAGACTTTGTCATTGGGTCATCATGATTTTGTCTGGTTTTGAAAACCATTCAGTTTCAAAGATGAAGGAATATAGTAACATTCCTCATCATTCTGAGGTTCTGTGTGTTACTTTTACACATACACACGCACATACACAAAGCAGCCAGCAGTGAGTTTTTTTTTTTGAGTGAGTATACTCTCCCAACCATGCAGCACCTACCACAGGGTCCTTTACAGTGTCAATCAGCTTAATGATATTTGTTCCACCACGAAGGTTCTCCAGAATCTTAACCTCTCGTTTTATCTTCTTTTTCTTCACTGGCTTAAATACACAAGAGTAATCAGAAGTGAGACTCCTTTTGAAGTTAATATAATAAACAAAACTTTAAAACAATGTTAGTCAATTAAATGGTTACTGATCTTGCACCACGTTGTGTTAAAGAGCATGTCTATATTAGAAGGGAAAATAATTAAGATAAAATGAGCTTGCTCATAAGAACATTTACATTAAATAATTTATAGACTTATATAGCTTACTGTCAGATCTTTAAGTAGCTACATTTAGGGCACTTACAAATTTCAAACACTCATGTCACACTTTAAAAATAAAATGCTTTCTTACTTGACAGCTGCCCAATAGAAAATGTTATCACTCTGAACAGCTGTATGTCATGCACTCACAAATGGAAAAACTGAAACAAAATGGTGAGACACCTGCTCCTCCAATGAGTTACATGTCATTTTGTCTTCCAGGAGTGAAGACCAGTTCACTGACATCAAGTTACCAACTTGTTTCCCAGCTGCTGGCTCCCGTTTCCTGTCGCCACTCCCATTTCCTTACTATCTAAAATCCGAAATCAGCACAGAGCAGTCAAATTTCCTGACGGATCCCATTTCAAACGAGAGGTTAGATCAGCAAAGGAGACTATTGATCTCTGATACAGCAGTGATTGAAAACTTCTGCTATCTACTATTTGATCTCCTGCATTAAAAAATTAGATAACTTAATTAGAAATACTAGCATTACACGTTCGTTCTTGTCTCAAATGAGAGAACGTGAACAAAAATAAACATAGCTCTAAAAAATAAGAGCCCATCACAATCAAGGATGTTTTATAAAGCACTCAGAACAATGACTGGAGTACGGTAAGCACTCAATAAATGTTAGCTGTATTATTTTCAAACAGTAGCACCTGGGCTTAACTTACATGAGCATATTTAATCCTCACAAAATCTCTATGTAGTAGACTCAGCAAAGTTGAGCGATTTGCCCAAAGTCACACCGGTAGTAATAAGAAGGATTCAAATCTAGGTGAGTCTGACTCCACAGGCAGCTCTCTTAACCACTGTGCTTTTGTTTCCCAAGTGTGGCTAGAGGGAGAGATGTAACAGAAGGGGGAGAAACTAACCAAGGAGAGGGAGTAACAGCACAGGCAGTCAGGCCAGTGGGTTTGCCATGCAACAGCCCAACAGGATGGGAATTTTGCATCTGTGTGCTAGTAGTGTAGAAGGGAGATGTAACATACACAGGTGCCAGAGAAACCTCCATCTTTTGTTGCTCTCTAAAATATAGCTCTGAACACAGAACAAAAGGGAGATAAAACATCAAACAGAGAGCCACATGCATCATCTACAAAAAGGTGCTCAAGTGAATGGCTGGAACCTAGCAGCACCCCTCTAAGCCATGAGCAGCCCTCTGTGAGCATTCTCAGGAGAGGAGATCACTATGCCCCTTCCCCATCTCCCTTTAAGAACCATACCCCTTTCTTCATCAGGGAGCTCAGTACCGAGAAAATAAGCACTTCACAAATGGATTAAAAAAAAAAAAAAAAAAAAAAAGCCAGGGACCCACTACAGAATAACTGGCTTGTAAATTAAAAAAAAAAAAGCCCTGGTGGCACAGTCAAGTGCTCAGCCGCTAACCGAAAGGTGCATGAGTTGAACTCACCAGCTGCTCCGCAGGACAGTCTGCTTCTGTAAACATTATAACCTTAGAAACTATATGGTGGCAATTCTACTCTACCCTACAGGGTCGCTATGAGTCAGAATCGACTGGATGGCAACAAGTTTGGTTTAAGTTTCAAAAGTGTCAATTTAGGGAAACACAAAAACTGAGCGCCTTTCCCTATTAAAAAGATGTATGACAACTGATTACAACATATGATGAGACTTTCTTTTGCTATAAAGAACATTAATACAATTGGCAAAAGTGAATTGAGGCTGTAGATTAGATAGTAGCATCGTATCCATGTTAATTTCCTGATTATTATAATCATGGCACTGTGGAGTTAGAAAGAAACTGTCCTTGTTTTTAGGAAATACAAACTCAAATATTTAGGGATGACTGCAATTTACTTTCAAGCACTTCAGGAGAAAATATTCTTTATATGTATGTATACACATATGCATGTATGTGTACTTATATCAGAGGGATAAGCAGAGGAAGAGAGGGAGGGGGTGGGAAGAAGAATTAAGCAAAGGTTAACACTGGGGAATCTGGGTGAAAGATATAAGATAATTCTACCATTTTCTGTAAGTCTGAAATTACATCAAAAAGAAGAAATATACAAGCCGCTTTCGTTCAACTTTTATCTATAAACCCAGCCAATAATACTAGATAATCCAATGCCTTTCAATGTAAGAAAATTCTAGAGTTTTCATCCACCCCTAGAAGTAGCTATAGATCAGTAGGAATGTAACAGTGAAAACAAATGCAGCCAGAACTAGTACACACCAAAACCCCACCTCCACTCTCACCAGTCAGTCAGTATGAGGGAAGCCATTAAATTAGAAGCCTTAGTGGCACAATGGTTAAGCCCTCAGCTGCTAAAAGGTTAGAAGTTCAACCCCCTCAGTGGCTCTGCGGGAGGTAAACCTGGCGATCTGCTTTCTTCCCTACAGATTACAGCCCAGAAAACCCTATGGGGATAGTTCGACTCTGTCACAGAGGCTCTGTGAGTCAAAATCGACTCAATGGCATCTAACACCAACCATATAACCCATTAAAGAAGTCGCTTTTATGACGCCACCCCCAAATAAAACCTTGCTCAGCTCTCCTGCTGTTCAGCAATAGGTCAGGCAGGCACACTGTTCCTGGACAACCCAGTTAAGATTAAGATATCTTTCATTATGTCTCAAGGTAAGTTATAGAACAACTGAAGCAATTTTGCTCTCAATTATCACCTGTGCAATGGCTTCCCAAACCAGAGGCTGGGACAACAGGGCGATTCTGAGGTAGCACAATGGAGCCCCATAGTAGCTGGAGTCCTCAGAATACTGACAAAAGACCAAGAGACTGTGAGAAAGAAAAGTGACCTGCAGCCCAGGACATTCCCCTCCAAAGCACAGGCACCGATCCTCTACTTGAGAACCAGGCTGCAGATTAACTGTTTAGCCTCAGCTTAGTCCTCCGAACCCGGAAGATGCTGTGTGTGTTACACCACAGTTACTCCAAGGGAGTGAAGGCCATTTTACTTCTACAAAGGAAATCGAAGAGAAAAGCTAAGACATGAAGGATCAGGGCAAGCTATAAAATTACCTTCTCTCAATTTCATCCCAAGGAGGCACCTCCTTGGCATCGTAAGGCATCTAAATTATAGGTTTTGCATAAATAAGGATGCTTTGACCATCCTGACCAGAGTTGGCACTCATTCACCAGAAGTCACACAAAGTGAAGAAAATACAGACATTTCTATGGCAATCTTAAAATTTCATCTTGAGTTCTAGAAAAACTCTCTCCTACCAAGGGTTCATTTATTCAAATTCAGAAAAGTTGTTTAAAAAATTCAAACTGAATCAGTTCAGCTATTTTCCAAATAATTTTTTTCCTCTCTCCAAGTCTAGAAGATAAAATGGCAGAGTTCAAAATGAATTAAAAGGAAACCAAAGTAAATTAAGTTTTGATAGTAAATAAATTTTGCACACACTCAGAATATTTAAAGCAGAAATTTTTTTTTTTTTTTAAATGTTCTGGCATATGCTCTGAAAGTTACAAACAAAAACAAAACCCTCCTTGGAAGGTTTCTGTCTAGGTGGTGACCAGTCCAGCTGTTACAGAATCCAGTTCAAAGAAACCCAAGAGTGAGGCACCTTTTTTCTTTATCTACTAATATTGAAAAACTTTAAAACAAAAGACAAATTAGGTGCCAGGGAGCTTATAAAAAGTTGGTAGTCAGACGTCTGTCCTGTCTCACTTAAAAAAAAAAAAGGCCTGTTTTGAGAAGCTGAACAACTAGCATTTAATTCTGACTGAATTTGCAAACTTCTTTCTGTATATCCACCAAAGGCATGTGAATGATGACCTCAATAAAACCTAGCAAATATGAAAAGAAAAAATACCATTTAAGTATCTTTCCAAACACAGCTGCTGATTTTTCAAGACAAGCAGAAATATGACTCAGAAGTTTCAACTCCAGGGTTACTTTTACTCCACTACCAAACCACTGACTGCCCCTATTAACTTCATCACCTGCAATAAGTAATTACAAAAAACAATGGCTGCCAGGCACGTGGAAGGATGGAATAAGGAGGAAAGTTCAGCCTGCTGTTACCTTGCCAGGGTCTCTAAAGTCCACGGAAGTTGACCTAAATAGAAACATATACTATCTGAGCAATGTGATTTATCCACAGCCATGTTTCCTCTAATCTTTCAAGTCCCATCTTTCCAATGAGGTTATAAATTCTTTGAAGGTAATTGTTTATTTTCAGCATTTAAAAAAATTTATTAAGAAGGTTGGGCATAAAGTAGACCTTTCGGGTCTTATCAAAAGAACATCACAGCCCTTTCTACTAGTGGTTGTGCCCTCCTAAAACCATTCACTTGGCCCAATGTAATACTAGAACTGTATTTCATTGCCTTCCAAGCACCAGGCACTGTGTTAGGCACATTTAATCTTCTGATATAAAAGCACTATTGATGTCATTTTACATGAGGACACCGAGGCACAGGATTCAAGTAAGAGCTTCTCAGGGTTCGTGTGACCATCTAAATCCAGGCAGTGGCTTACCCAGCCACACTCTCTGACTCCAAGAGAGTGGAAGCAGCAGCACTTCTGGGAGTGCTAAAGCACTGCCATGCACCTATCTGGGCCTCATCTGATTCTCCCAACAACTCTGTGAGTTACCCAGGAAAGGTAGTCTCATTTCACAGATGAGAGAGTCAAATGGGCATAAATGGAGAAGCTGGTTCTAGACCCAAGTCTCCTGCCCTCCATTTACAGTATTTCTTACACTATTATCACCTTGACTACAATGTGACAAATTCTGAAATTAGGCTCTAGACACTGTCTGAAGCCATGCTCTACACATGAAAATGGGTACTCTCTAGGTATTCTTATCCATAAAGGGTTTATGTATTAAATGGATATAACTGTTAACCTCCAAATCTGGCCAGTTTCTCCTCATGAGATTGGGAGAACTGTATGGATTTAAAAAGCATAAAAACACAGTCTGCTGAGGCTTCTAACGGACAGAGAGTAAAGTAACATCTTATGTATGCATTAAACATGTTGCTGTGGACGCAAATCACAGAAAACCCCTGTCTGGGTCCCTACAGGTCTCTGGATATTCATCCATTCCACCCTTCAACTAACAACCAACATTCCTTTCAGAAGAGGAACTCCAAAAATCATTAGAAACAAATCAATTTCAGTTGACTTTTAATGAGTGCTCTTCAATCCTTCTAATACAGTCCACTACATCAAAAAGTCAAATATCCAGCAAATATCCCAACTGGGCTCTCATACCTACCAAGACTCTGTGAAGAGGGTATGTGTATATATACACGTATATACACACACACGTGCGCGCGCGTTATAAAAAAAACAACAAATAAACAACCTCCTGCCTTTGAGTCAATTCTGACTCATAGTGATCCTTTGTTGCTGTTGTTGTTATGTGCCGTCGAGTCGGACCTGACTCATAGCGACCCCTCCTTGGATTGCCGAGGCAATATCACTACAGAAGTAGATTGCCCAACCTTCCTTCCGAGGAGTGGCTGGTGGGTTTGAACCGTCAGCCTTCTGGTTAGCAGTCAAGGGCCTTAGGCGTTATGCTACCAGAGCTCCTTAGTGACCCTTTAATACAGAGTAAAATTGGACCATAGGGTTTCTAAGGCTGTAAATCTTTACAAAAGGAGACTGCCTCATCTTTCTCCTGGGAAGTAGCTAGTAGGTCTGAACTGCTGACCTTTTGGTAAGCAGAAGAAAGCCTTAACTACTGCACCACCAGAGCTCCTCAGGATGAGTATAGAGGATTCTAATACTAATGCTTCTACCCCAAACCATGCAACCCTGAGCAAACTGCATCCTCCTGCCGGGTCTTGGATAATACGTAAAAAGAACTAGGGCTCTAGAGGTTTTCAAGCTCCCCACAACCCAATTCTGTTCAACACAGATGAACTCACAATTTCTGACCCCACAACCACAATATTAGAAATAGTAATGACTACTTTACATGTAATTTTAAAAATTTCTATTATTTTAGCAATATTTTAATACCAGCATCCTGCTCCAGCAAGACCCACCACCCAAGAAAGTCAAAACGGGAGAAAGCACTCTATCGGCACAGTGAGACCACAATCTGGCCGAACCCAAACAGTCACCAGCTCACTACGGAGTTACGAACAAGGATCTGTTAGTAACAGATCTCACCCTTCTTCTGTCTCCTGCCAACGCAAAATTCCACCAGTTTTAAGCATGATTAAAAAACTAACTTGTATTACCACCTCCCCATACACACACCTTAAGAATTAATTTTTGGGAAAAACGTGTAGTAGCTGTTTATAAAATACAAGTAAGAAGAGGCAGCCTTGTATGCTACCAAGCCACTGCACTGCTGGCTCAAAACACTGTACGTCTGTTTTTTCAAAAGTGGTACTGTTTAATTTCTTTTCAGGAAGCAGCAGTTTAATTCGAAGGATCCCAAGGCCTCCAAGCAGGCCTGAAATCCACACTCAGGCGGTGCTCACAAAATACCGACAGGTGTCAAAAACGGCCACATGCTTTTATTTCTGTGTACACCTTCTTAAGAGGTACGAGAAAGGAACTGAAGAATTGATTTTTTAGAATGAACAGATGAAACTCTAGGCATTCAAGTGGCTTTCAACTTGCTTTATAAATGCTTAACATTTCCCCCCTTTTCCTCTTTTCCCCTCAAAACAATTTGTCAAAAAAAAAAGATACAACCTAAAAAGAAAAAAAAGATACAACCTCCCTGCTGATTTGGTAATTTTAAAGATTTTAGTCTCAGAATTTCACTGGAGGATAGAGAGTAAAATCTTGCTCACCAATTTCTAAATACCTAAAATCTCCTAACAGTCCCAATATATTCTGATCAATAAAACACTTGGACATCTATTGATGAAAAGTAAATGACGAAAAACTCCTCAGTGGTCACTCACCACCCAACCACACTCACATAAGGGAAAGGACTGATTGGAAAATGTTATTGGTGAAAAAGACAGCCCCCATCTTCAAGGAAGACTTTTCCATCATTATGTGCAGATCAACACATTAGGTTCCTTCCTGCAGTTGAAACACAGTAGGCCTACATAAGAGAAAGGAGCTCTCCTGGCACAGTGGTTAAGGCATTCATTCAGCTGCTAACCAAAAGGTCAGCAGTTCAAACCTACTAGCCCCTCCCCAAAAGAAAGATGAGTGAGTCTGCTTCCATAAAGGCCTTGGAGATCCTATGGGGCAGTTCTATTCTACTAATCCTACAGGGTCACTATGTGTCAGAATCAACTCAGTGGCAGTGATACCAAGTTATTTTCTTGAGTCCCCCTAATTATGAGCAGCTGGTACTCTGTTAAGGACTTAAATTTCCAATGATCAAATACCGTAACAGAACAGGTATCAGTCATAACTTCAACTTATGTGAGTAAGAACACAACTTCAGATAAAAATCCTGTTGTTTTTTAAATACTTATAATTTACTTTAATTCAACCTGTCAAAACAAAACCACAAATAATACCATTAGTGGTTTCTTATCCCACCCTTAGTTCTTAACCAAGAACAAATCTGGATAGAAATGTCACAGGGCTTTGAAAAACAGAAAAGAACAAGTGCAGTTTTTACCATTAGAAATGAGGTGGTCCAGACTGTACCCTAAAAAGAACCTGCAGCAAAATGAAATGACAAACAACACTCCATTAACTAGAGCATCAAAGGGACCTGCCTCCCAAGTCTTATTCTAGAAGACTGCACCCAGTGTCAAGATCCTACAACTCAAGTGAGCACTAAGAGACAGGAAGAATAGGAAACAGGAGTTCAGGTGAAGGGTCGTTTCAGCATAATGATGTTAGAGAAGTTTCACTATGTCTAGGCTTCCCACTAGTTAAAATAACCTACAGATTCCATACTGGGTCCCCTAAACGTATCCTGAAAATCCTTAGAGCAGGGGAAAAAACTACCCAACAAGTGACCCTGTGAAGCGCTTTAGAAGGATGATGAGAGCAATACAATGCTTTCCTTAACGAACATACTGGTATTTATACTTACACCTGACTGCTGTTCTTTCAAAAGGATACCACGGGAGACTGCACATTTGTTCTAAAAGTGCTGCCACTGCAGAAAAGTTTAGACTCTTTTCTAGAACTGTTTTAGAGTCAGCAGTGCACTCTTCCGAATGTACAGTAGCAGAACATGAAAATTTCTAATTTCAATTTAGGTCCTGCCTACTTCCTACAATTATTTGAAGCAGCTTTTATTAAAAACATTTAGACTTATATACACAAAAGAATAAATTGCATAGCTTCCTCAGATTGTCCCCTTTGGGGTGTATCTGTATTTGTTAAGGAAGAACAAGAAAACAGAACCACGTGACTCTGTAGGTGAAACTCACACTTAAGGAAGAGGCAAGCCAAACTCTACACCTTCAACATCAACTTGTCCCCAGTGGTTCTGCCTGCACTAGTAACTGTGGTTATCTCTCCCTGCTGCAATTCCACTCCCATCACTAGGCTAGGATGGTCCTGAGGGACACAGCTCATCACTTTTCTGGAAGGTGATTTCCAGATGGCATGAGCCTGACCCCTAATATTCAACAGGGACTACCTACAAAGCTGCCCTAACACTGCCCTTCAAACGCAAACAGCTTTTTAACCTCACGTACTTATTCCACAAAAGCTCCACAAAATGGCCATACTGAAAATCACATATACGTAGTGCTTGAGGCTTGGGAATCTTTCCCTACATGACATACATGCACATTAAATGACCTGATGATAACGGAGACCCATCACAAATTCCAAGAGTTACTTCTTAGTACACCCTGTAAAACATTATTAAAGCGACACAACCAATCACATGCCTGAAGGAAAATTTAGACAACGCTTCAAGCTCATTATGTCTCCATTCGAGAGATAACAAAAGGCCCATCATTATCCAACTTAGGCCACTGAACCATGTATTAAGATTGCTTTGCCCTCATTATCATCTCAGTGATTACAAACATACTCTCCTGTTCCACATTTCACTTTTACTAGCTAACACAAAACAATGAACCTTCTCGGTATTATTGGCTCAGTATTTCCATCCCATCTGAGACTTTCCACAAAAACTGAAGAAATAAGTGATTATCCACAGAGGCGTCTAGCTCCACTTTGGCTTCAAACTCATCTTTGAAGTAGCTCCAATTTTTTCCAATACTCTTTCAGGAATAACTTAGAGCACGAGGACTAACCGAAAGCTTGAGCAGCCCTTGGATGGACAGGATCTTCATAAAGAGCTTTTCTTTCCTCTGCACTTTGTAATAAATGGAGTCCCTCTGGAAGTTTTGCTTTGGGAGCCCAACATTTAAACTGTGGAACAAGGATGTTCCTGAATTAACCTGCTTCGATTTGAGACCAGTCTGCACATATTCTTGGAAGTGCACAGGAAAATGGAGGGCTATCAGACAGAAGACGATACAAAACTGAGAGCCAGCAATGCTTACCCTAGAACGTCACTAGAGCAGCTATCCTTTTGACCTGTGGAAAAAAATTTAAATGCCCCTCATAATACACTCACCTTGAGAATTTTTACAACCACTCTCTCATTGTTGGTGATGTTAATGGCCTCAAATACTTCACTATATTTTCCCCGACCAAGTTTTCGAACCAGTTGGTAATCATCTTGATTACTGCAAAAGGCAAGAGAGACACGTGAATGCCAGGACGCTTAACCAAGCCTACGTCCACTATACATCCAGCCACTTCCATTAATCAAACGCCTGGAAGTGTCTATACATCACAACACGCACGACTCATTCCCTAAATGAAAGCCGTAACACAAACTTGGCTCCTTCACTCTGCACAGCGCTCCTCACAGAGGTCCTCTAACTTGGGGAGATGAGGGAGGCCCAGCTCGGAGCCAATCTAGAGGGAGATGACCAAAGCACCCCTCCTGCAGGCCCACGAGCTGTGGTTCCAGCCAGGGCTCCCTCGCACCTGCCTCCTTCCACACCCTGAAGGCAGCGCCTGCTCTGAGGATCTGGACGTCTCTAAAAAATCTCCTCCCACCCATCCTCATTAAAAAAAAAAAAAAAAAAACCCTAAAAAGGCAGAGAATTTTAATAGCCCAAGAGGACAGCTGTTGAGTTTCCACCCCAACAGAAACCCAAAGGTGTGAGGAGGAAGGGCTGCCTCCTCGCTTCCATGGGGCTATGGTCTCGGCACCCTACACTTCCCCTCAGAAAGAAAGCATTCCTTGGACTGAGGAGGCAGAGGGGTTCACAAAGGTGGGAGAAAGGGACGAGAGATAAGGACACGTGTGAGGGGGGCACTGTGCTCCCACGCCAACCCCGAGGAAGCGCCGGCCCAGGAGAGGGGCAGGCGGGGAGCCCAATCGTCGGGAGGCAAGTGTGGTTCGCGCCGGAGCGAGGCCGAACCCGGAGCTGAGGACAGAGAGGGGCGGCGGCGGCTTTACCCCCAGCTCGGGACGTGCGCCTCATAGTCCCAGTACTCGCGGCTCCTGAGGCTGTTCACC